AAAATACTATGACACGTCTAATTTCAATAGCTTGTAAACAAAGACTGAAATGACATATCGACTTGAAATTTTTTATGCGTTCATACGAAGAATGAATACGTTTAATAAAGTTATAAATTTGTTTCTACTACTGCAACATAGGTGCCGCTCCGCGAACTTTTCAACCAACCTAGTATATCTAAATATGTAAAAATTTACCAATTTAACAAAATATGGAGACAAACTACATCGTCAGATTTTGGGAACAAGCTGTACTATTTTAACTTATTATTATTATATTACATACAATTTAATCGTTTTGACTGTTTCAAATCTGTTCACCCAACGAATGTTTTAATTGTTTATGAAAAAGAAAAATTTTTTAAAAAAATTGAAAATATTGTTTGTGTACCTCATTTGAGATATTGTTTGTGTACCTCATTTGAGATGAAATGAAAGAAATGCAGCATACGTTAAAAATTTTTCAAAATCCAAATTAAATAAAAAATTAAAATCAGTTTTGTAATTGCATGGATTTTTATCTTTTGATTATCTGCCAATTCAGGCGTTTTTTACGGAAAGTGTTTTTTGATTATGGCTAAACCATAATAAGCTTATGCAGTACCAAAATTTATTGCTGGAATTCCAATTGGCTTTTGTTTCTCTATTAATATTTATGGAGATCAGCAACCTTTTTTTTTTTTTTTTACTATTTTTCTTCTATAATTTATCTTATATTTGTCATTATATTTATTCTTATAATCAATCTTTTATGATTTTTCCATCGTAATGTTTTAGATATAAATGGCTTTACCGACAACGCTTTTAAAATTTTGCTTATACTCCCAGCTAACATAAAACGTTCAAGTACGTTTAGCAAACATTGCAAACGTTCGAGCACGTTCAATAAACGTTTTATTTTATTTCATTTCAGCATTTAGCATTTTCCCAACTAGATTCATTTTAAGTTCATTACGTAGTTTTTTGAAAACATTTGAATTATTGATTGCGTTATGAGCTTCAGAATAATGTTTTTTTTTTACGTTATTTACACCTAATCAGGGATAGCAATCCGGGGATATTGTAGAAATTTTTAATCCTGAAATATTGGGATTAGTCGCTGAAATTTCCCGGGATTTCAAGATCGTCATAAAAAAAGTAAAAATGCAAAAACTTCAAGTTTAATATGTAATTAACCATTTTTGACATCAAAAAAATGTAAATATAAGCTTTGTTATAGTATCTGTTTGGTTTTGTTTTGTCTCATTTTATTTGTCTCTCTTATCTTTTTTTCTCTTGTTCTGTATTTCTCTTGTTCTGTATACGAAAATGAAGATGACCAGCAGAACAGACTTTTAACCGTCAACACAGTAAGGTCAACTCTCAAGGTTTTTGGTGTAGGAAAAAGTAATATTACAAAAAAAAAAATTAAAAAAAAGGAAATTGAAGACTTAGGAAATTATTGTTTATTTTAAAACACTTATTTAAATTAATGCATAATTTTTGTCTTAAAACTGTTTTTAAAGATTTTTATTTATTGGTAAATTAATTATATATTTGAAAATAGTTTTTTTTTGTTTGATATATAAGCGCGTAGCTTAAACTTTGCATTTTTTGATTTCTTAAATATTGTTTTAACCAAAAATGTGTTAAAAACATGATGACATACCCTTTCAAAATGAAAATATAGATAATAAATAACAAAAAAAAAAAAAAAAATGAAAAATAATTTTTTCATGAATATCCTCCTTTTTTGAAGTACAGTTTCTAAACAACTTTAGTGTTGAGGGGGACTTAAAAGTCATCCGATTGACCTAAAAAAAATTTTGACAAAGTTTTACCATACTTGGTTTAACTTTAGCTGGATATTTACTTCGTTTTCAAAAATTACCTCAAAATGACTACCCCTAATATATATACATATTTTAGCAGCCGTGGCGCAGTGGTAGCGCACTTGCCTGAGAAACGTAAGATCCCTGGTTCAAACCCCACCTCTAGGAAAGTTTTGCGACATCGGTTGGGAAGGAGGCGTGAACTTCCCATTAAATTCTCTTCCGCGGTGCTCTGTGATAAGACCGTAAGGACTCCTTGGGGCACCTAAAATCAACATAATAAAAAAAAAAAAAAAAAAAGTATATATATATGTATATCTATATGTATCTATGTATATCTATATATATATATATATATATATATATATATATATATATATATATATATATATATATATATATACTTATATATTATTATATATATATTTATATATATATTTATATACTTATATATTATTATATATAAATATTTATATCTGTATATATATACAGATATATGTATATACAGATATATATATATATATATATATATATATATATATATATATATATATATATATATATATATATATATATAAATTAGTAGAAAATCACTAAGCAAAATTTTTTCTCATTTAACACTGTGTTTCATCA